TTGCTTAGAAGGTTAACAGATGTAGTTTGTACTATACAAAACATTTTTATGTGGCCCTGTTTGCCACGTAATGGGTGCTGTGAGTTTTCCAGGCTGTATGGCTATGTTCTCTCCTGACGTTTCTCCCACATCCTCGGAGATTGTGAGGCCTGTTGGAAACGAGGCAAGTGAGGGTTATATATCTGTGAAATAATGTCCAGAGTGGGAGAAAGAATTTGTGTCTCTTTGAGGCAAGTGTGAATGTTGCAATTGGCCAGCTTAGGTAAAGGTAGTCCCCTGACATTAAGTCCAGTCATGTCTGACTCTGGGGTGTGGTGCTCATCTCCATTTCTAAGCCGAAGAGCCAGCGATGTCTGCAGACACCTCCAAGGTCATGTGGCCGGCATGACTGCATGGAGCGCCGTTACCTTCCCGCCAGAGCGGTACCTACTCACATTTGCATGTTTTCGAACTGCTAGGTTGGCAGAAGCTAGGGCTGACAGCGGAAGCTCACGCCGCTCCCCGGAATCGAACCTGCGACCTTTCGATCAACAAGCTCAGCAGCTCAGTGCTTTAACCCACTGCGCCACCGGGGGCTCCTTAATTAGCCAGCTTAATTAGCATTGGCCAGCTTAATTAGCATTTAATGGCTCTGCAGCTTCAAAGCCTGGCTGGTTGCTGTCTGGGGGAAGGACACCATGAAAATGAACATAATTTGGCTACCAGTATTTAAAATCAGGACAGTAAATTCAGAGCAACACTCAAGAAACAGGGGAATTCCAGACAAGCATTAGCAAGGCCAGCTAACACTCCCAACAAAGGATCCCCCAAACAGCAACCAGCCAAGCTTTGAAGCTGCAAGGCCATTTACTGTTAACCAAGGTGGCCAGTTGTAACATTCAAGCAGACAAGAGTTTTTTTTCTCCCACCCGGGACCTTCCCCAGATATATAAACGCCACTTACCTAGTTTCCAGCAGACCTCACAACCTCTGAGAAAGCCTGCCATAGATGTGGGTGAAATGTCAGCAGAGAATGCTTCTGAAACATGGCCATACAGCTTGGAAAACTCACAGCAACACAATGCAATAATGTTTCTTAGGAAAGATCACAATGCGGTGAAATCGATACCTTGTGTTGTATCTCTTGCCCATAGTACCTTCTTGTTCCTTTTTGTCTGATAAAAGGTTGGCAACAAAATGGTTACTTTTTCAAAAGCAATCATAAAATGTCTTCTACTGCTTGTCCATTGTATTTTCTTAACTTTCTTTCCCTGGGAGGTTTTGGTCATTCCCCCCAATTCATAGAAATGATCAGTGAAATTCAAAATATGTCTGTATTCAGACACAAGGTGATGATCCTTTCTTATCTTGATTTGGCTGTATATAAGCAGTTTCTGTTTGAGAAGGGCATCACACCTTCCCTCAAACTCGTGGAAAAGAATGAAGTGGATTACTTGGAACTCTGTTGCAGATAAATATCTAGAACAGGCTTGCTCTTCCAAACCAGTCTGGCCGGCACCAGTTCTTTAACTGAAGTGATATTCCATGGTAGATTAAAATGGCTGAATGCATTGTCGTATGTTGTGTGTGTTGACAGATTGCTCTCCTTTCACCATATGAAACTTTTTCCCTAATAGAGAAGTGAATCTAGTTGAGGAAAATGCAAAACTCCACCATGTTTCCGCAGTATTCTTCTATATGAGGGTACTGTTGTGGATTTTCTTTTAAAATGCCCTGTTTCCATATAAGGGTTGGCTTCCAATTTTATGGCATTCACCTCTCCTCCTCCTTAGGCAAATGGTTCACAGCGGCCATCCATTATGTGTCCTGCCTGAGCTCCTCATGTAGACATGTGGCCTCCTCCTCCCTCCCTTTTGCAGAGCTTACGTGAGAAACCACATCCAACTCACATGCGGGGTGTGTGTGTGTTGCCTCATGGTTCCTTGCGGCCGCATTCTCTTCCAAAGAAAGTGCATAAGTTGTGCTCGAAAATCCAGTTTTTTTTCTTTTTGCACTGGGAGATATGGATTGAAATAGAAGCAAAATTAAACAGGAGAAAAAGATTTGATGCTCTCAAAGTGAAATCTTGTACACTTTGAATATCCCTTATGTAAAATGCTTGGAACCTGAAGTGTTTGAAGTTTCAGATATGTTTTGAAGTTTGGTGGAGGCTCGTTCTTTGGAAGCTTTTAAGCGGAGGCTGGATGGCCATCTGTCAGGGGTGATTTGAATGCAACATTCCTGCTTCTTGGCAGGGGGTTGGACTGGATGGCCCATGAGGTCTCTTCCAACTCTTTGATTCTGTGATTTGGAATACATAAGCGACATTTATTTGTGTTTTAAATCCACCTTATATGCATAGCCTGAAGGTGCTTTTGTGCAATGTTTGTAATAACTGTGCGTTAGACAAAATATGTGTACATTTAACCATCCAGAAGAAAGTGTGTCATTTATTCAAGGTTTGTGGATGTTGACATTAATAGTAAGTAGTATTTGTCAAAGGGGTGGCGTGAGTAAACAAAGTGAAACTAAAACAATCCAAATAAATTAAAATAAGACCTAGTAAACCGGCATGGGATGATTATTATTATTATTATTATTATTATTATTATTATTATTGTATTGTCGAAGGCTTTCATGGCTGGAATCACTAGGTTCTTGTGGGTTCTCTCTAGAACATGGCTCTATAGCCCGAAAAAACCCACAAGAACCTAATTATTATTATTATTATTAACTTTATTTGTACCCCGCTAACATCTTCCAAAGGACTCGGTGCGGCTTACAAAGGCCAAGGCCCAGGCCCTCAATAAAACAACAGTGTAACAAATACAACAATAAAAACTCAAAAAAGCAAACCAATAAACATTAAAGCAATAAACTGGCCAGTGATTAAAATTAGGAGAGGGTGAGATATTTTGACACCATTAACCAAACATGAATATGAGAGTGGAAGACGCCTGTGCATGAGTTTTTTTTAATGTGTGGAGGTCAGTGCACAGCTGATCAACACACAGTCTTCACAGAATGAGGTTCCACTGGTGGTGTAGTTTAACACTATGACCGTGGCTTCTCAATCTGTTGCAGCCTTCTTCCGCCTTCACAGCTGTTGTAACATATACCATGTTATCCTCCGCATGCTCCGCGGTCGAGGTCTTCTGACTGTTCTTAGTCTGGAACCTCCCCCACGGCCACTCCTGGGAGTGCAAGACTCCAGTTGTTGTGCCTGCAGGTTCATTGGAACACGCAAGCCCCCTCACCATGACAAGGTGACGGTCCATCAAGGGGGACCAACCTTAAAAACTGTGGCATAGACACTGAGAACTGGGAAACCCTGGCTCTTGAGCACTCCAGCTGGAGGTCAGCTGTGACCAGCAGTGCTGCAGAATTTGAAGAGGCACGAATGGAGGGTGAAAGAGAGAAACATGCCAAGAGAAAGGCCCGTCAAGCCAACCCCGCCTGTGACCGCCTTCCACCTGGAAACCAATGTCCTCACTGCAGGAGAAGATGCAGATCAAGAAGGCAAGGGCGTTAAGATCGTCCGGGGAGGCCCTGCTCTCGGTCCCGCCAGCGTCACAAGTGCGGTTGGCGGGCATGAGAGACAGGGCCTTCTCGGTAGTGGCCCCTCGGCTATGGAATGCGTTACCAGTGGACATCAGGCAGGCCCCTTCGTTGCTGGTGTTTCGAAGGAGGGTTAAGACGTGGCTCTATGAGCAGGCATTCGGTTAGCTATGCAGTAACAACCACCCCAATAATGACGGCATTGAACAAGGATTGAATTAAGGACTATGAGAACGGGATCTGATTCTAAGTAGGCGTTGATGATTATGTGTATTGTTTGTCGATGTACGTCTTATATATTGTTCACTGTTTATTTTTACTGTAAACCGCATTGAGTCGCCGCTCCAGGCTGATAAATGCGGTATACAAATGGAGTAAATAAATAAATAAATAAATAAATAATAGGGCTCCACAGTCTCCTACGGACCCACTGCCAGTACACTATCCTACTTGGCCAACAAGGGATCGCCTAAGAGAGAAGAAGATGAGAGTGGATATTTATTTATTGTGTCAGAAGCAAGATGAGGGTACAGTAAAAATGCATTTTAAAACACAAAGTTTTTAAAAAAGAACTTTGCATTATGCTAAATGTACTTTGACCAGAAGCTAGCCACGTGGAGTGCCTCTGGGGTTGCTGTGAGAAGGTTCGCCATTGTGCATGTGGCAGGGCTCAGGTTGCATTGTAGTAAGTGGTTTTGTGGTTTGCTCTTCTCTGCACTCGCATGTCGTGGACTCTACTTTGTTGTTGTTGTTCAGTCGTTCAGTCGTCTCCGACTCTTCGTGACCTCATGGACCAGCCCATGCCAGAGCTCCCTGTCGGCCGTCACCACCCCCAGCTCCTTCAAGGTCAGTCCAGTCACTTTGTAGCCCCATTTCTTAAGGTTAGCTCTGCATCTTGTGGTGCCAGAGCGCAGCCTGTTCAGTGCCTTCTATGTGCTCCAGTCTTTTCTGTGCCCAGGAGGGAGTATCTTATCTGGTCACCGCCACTGATTGAGTTGCTAGGTTTAAGCCTGCCACTTTTGAACTCTCGCCTGCTGAGATGTTCCTGCAAGTATCTCTGTAGAATCTTAGGAAGCTATTTCTGGATTTAAGGCATTGGAATGCTGTCTGATATCTGAACAGAGGATGGGCCGAAGTTGTCAATGCCTTGGTCCTTTCAACGCTGGCTGCTACTTCTCGGAAGAAGTCAGGTGCTGCGATAACAGCTAAACAGTGTAATTTCTCCAGTAGTGTGGGGCATTGACATCCTGTGATAATACAGCATGTCTCATTAAGAGCCACATCTGCTGTTTTAATGTGGTGAGAAGTTTTCCACACTGGGCACGCGTACTCAGCAGCAGAGTAGCAAAGTGCAAGGGCAGATGTCTTCACTGTATCTGGTTGTGATCCCCAGGTTATGCCAATCAGCTTTTGTACGTTCGGAGATATATTGCGTTAAACATTTATCTATTTCTAATTTTCAGGGAGATCTCGAATCGTGGGAGAACTTCTAGCCCCAACGTCGCCTTTCGATAAAAAGTGTGGGCGAGAAAACTGGACCGTCGCCTTTGCTCCGGATGGCTCTTACTTTGCTTGGTCACAAGGCCATCGCATAGTGAAGCTTGTGCCCTGGTCTCAGTGCATTCATAACTTGTGAGTGTCATCTGTTTGGCCTCTGTTGGACTGTGTTGCTTTTCACCTCTAAATCATGACTTACAATTGTAGGAACTGGGACAGTCTGCACCATACTAGAAAAGATGAGTTGGGAGTCAAACATCATTTGGTCTGTTTCATTAGTTATACTTTGGGTATGACTGAGTCTAAATATAAATCAGTGTGGAGTTGAGAGCAAGAATTGTGCCGTCTTAAAAGAATATGTGAACACGGAAACAGGGCTCAAATTATTTCAGTATTCGAATATACATCAGTTTAAATGCTTCAGGAATGATAGAATTAATCACATTTCCTCACATATCACAAAGAGGAATAGATGGTATATTATTTTGTTCAGTCTCTGACCTTTTGGCTGATTGAATAAAAAGAGTATTTCTTCCTTCTCATGCCTGTTGCACTCCGCATATGTTTTAATGCTGGCCTGGGCTGATGCGAATGTTAAGCCATTATGTCTAGTTTAGGAAAATGGAAATCCCCATAACCTTCTGGAGACTTTATGATCTTTGAAAAGGCATGATCTTGTTAGAAGTCACAATCTTTTTGAAAAATGATGCCATAACCTCTTGGTAAAAGCATGACCTGTTAGAGTCATAAACTTTTGTGATTTATATGAATTATTTATGTTTATATTTATGTGATTTATATGAATTGATTTATGTGATTTATATGAATTGTATTGCATTGATTGTTTTATTTGATGTTTTGTTTATTGATGTATTGTGGGCTTGGCCTCATGTAAGCTGCACCGAGTCCCTTGGGGAGATGGTAGCGGGGTACAAATAAAGATTATTATTATTATTATTATTATTATTATTATTATTATTATTATTATTATTATGGGAAAATGGCATCCATGCAAGGCAATTAGGTCTCTCAGCTGTTAAACTGATGTACCTATGTCTTTGAACGGTTAAGGACAAAGACATGGCAACACACAATCATCTATATATTCAGCAGAGTTTCAGAAGTGTTCTTATCTTCCCAAAAACATCTACTCTCCCTTAAAATATATCTGCCTTTAAATCATGCTCACAAGAGACAAAATTAGTAGACTTTTAAAAAAGTAACATTGTTGGTTTACTCACAGACTTTGTGTATTCGACATACAGGTACTTTGCTTAGCAATCCAGTTACAAGTAGATTTGAAGTACCATATATTCCGGCATATAAGATGACTGGGTGTATAAGACGACCCCCAACTTTTCCAGTTAAAATATAGAGTTTGGGATATGTTCGCCGTATAAGACTACCCCTCTTCCAACTCACACCATTTTTTTTTAAAAAAACCCATCAGATTTGATTTCTATATGGTAATTTTCCTATTACTGTACCTCCTTCTCTGCCTCTCAGATCTCGCACATGCGCATCTGCACCGCTTCACAGCAGTCTTCAGGAGCGAGATCTGAGAGGCAGAGGAGGAGGTCAGACAGGTAAAAGAGGTGTGTTTGTCTGGGCCCAGATCCACTCTATCTCTTTTTTCCATACCCTGGGCGCCCCGGATGCCTGCAGCTTGCTCCGCCCTTCACTTACACCTTCCTGGTGAGATGCCGCTTCACCTCACCATCGGGACCGCATTAAGTCCACAAATCCAGATGAACGGATTTTCTTCTACCGTACTTGTGTAGTGTCGCCCTTAATGCTTTCATACAGTCACTGCATACAGCAGGGACACGACCATTGCCGTTTTTGAGCTCCCCCCACCATATGCGGCAACCACAGATTCTCCAATCTGATTGGAAGTTTCAGCACCTGCTCTATAAGACTACTCCCGTGTATAAGACTACTCCTGCGCATAAGACTACTCCAGTGTATAAGACTACTCCCGCGTATAAGACGACCCCGCGTATAAGACGACCCTTGACTTTTGAGAAGATTTTCTTCGATTAAAAAGTAGTCTTATACACCAGAATATACAGTATTTTCTCTGTGTAAATAACACAGGCCATTGTTCTCATAACCAACAGTCCATAATCTAAAGCAGGGGTCCTCAAACTACTGCCCAAGGGCCAGATATGACCCTGATGTCTTTCTTCGATAGAGCTACAAGCTGGGTAGATGCGGGGAATGCTGTGGATGTAGCGTACCTGGATTTCAGTAAGGCCTTCGACAAGGGCCCCCATGACCTTCTGGCAAGGAAACTAGTCCAATGTGGGCTAGGCAAAACTACGGTGAGGTGGATCTGTAATTGGTTAAATGGACAAACCCAGAGGGTGCTCACTAATGCTTCCTCTTCATCCTGGAAAGAAGTGACGAATGGAGTGCCGCAGGGTTCCGTCCTGGTCCTGGTACTGTTCAACATCTTTATTAATTACTTAGATGAAGGGTTAGAAGGCATGATCATCAAGTTTGCAGACAGGAGAAGAATCCAATACTTCCAGAAGGACAGGAGCAGAATTCAAAATGATCTTGACAGATAGGAGAGATGGGCCAAACCTGTAAAATGGTTCTACTTGTGGAATTCCACTAGCACAGCTATGAAGTATGGGGAACAAATCCTGGCTCGAGAGCAGTACGTGTGAAAAAGATCTTGGAGTCCTCGTGGACAACAAGTTAAACATGAGCCAACAATGTGATGTGGCGGCAAAAAAAGCCAATGGGATTTTGGCCTGCATCAGTAGGAGCATAGAGTCTAGATCTAAGGAAGTAATGCTACCCCTCTATTCTGCTTTGGTTAGACCACATCTGGAATATTGTGTCCAATTCTGGGCACCACAATTCAAGAGAGATATTGACAAGCTGGAATGTGTCCAGAGGAGGGCGACTAAAATGATCAAGGGTCTGGAGAACAAGCCCTATGAGGAGCGGCTTAGGGAATTGGGCATGTTTAGCCTGAAGAAGAGAAGGCTGAGAGGAGATATGATAGCCATGTATAAATATGTGAGAGGAAGCCACAGGGAGGAGGGAGCAAGCTTGTTTTCTGCTTCCTTGGAGACTAGGACGCGGAACAATGGCTTCAAACTACAAGAGAGGAGATTCCATCTGAACATAGGAAGAACTTCCTGACTGTGAGAGCCGTTCAGCAGTGGAACTCTCTGCCCCGGAGTGTGGTGGAGGCTCCTTCTTTGGAAGCTTTTAAACAGAGGCTGGGGGCCATCTGTCAGGGGTGATTTGAATGCAATTCCTGCTTCTTGGCAGGGGGTTGGACTGGATGGCCCATGAGGTCTCTTCCAACTCCTTGATTCTATGATTTACCCGACCCTCGCTAAGGTTCAGCCTAAGTCTGAAATGACTTGAAAGCACACAACAACAACAACAACAATTCTATCTCACCAACCAAAAGCAGGCCCACACTTCTCTGAAATACTAATAAGCTTATATTTGTTAAAATTGTTCTTCATTTTAATTATTGTATTGTTTTAAGTGTTTTTGCACTACAAATAAGATGTGTGCACTGTGCATAGGAATTCAATCATTTTTTTTCAAATTATAATCCGGCCCTCCAACAGTTTGAGGGACTGTGACCTGGTCCTCTGTTTAAAAAGTTTGGGGACCCCTGATCTAAAGCATCTCTCTGTTCTGAGAATCTAATAAGAGTCTCTGTCTAATCTGAAAGTCTAGTGGAGCCTGCTGGCCTCTGTACTGAAATCTAAACTGAACTGTTACTAAAAATGGAGTCTGAGTCCTGAAGAAGGCCAGACCTGATCACATGGTCTTCAGCCCCTCCCACAGCAAAGAGTTAAGGTGAAATTGCATACCAATACACACATATACAAGACAGTAAGCAATTATATTCATAACAAATAACTAATGAAGGCTTGGGAAGGTTGCTTTTAAAGCTTTTATGTCTTCCTAAAGTGTTGGCTGTTTCTCCCCCAGTTCGCTGCATGGTGTCAAGAACTTTGTCAACTCCAGCCATTCCAAACTTTCAAGGCAGAACAGTGATGACAGCCAGAAAAGCAAGCCCTGTGAGCAGATTATAGACTGTGGTGACATCGTCTGGAGCCTTGCGTTTGGATCCTCTGTCCCTGAGAAGCAGAGCCGATGTGTGAATATAGAATGGCACCGGTTCAAGTTTGGCCAGGATCAGCTTCTCCTGGCAACAGGCTTGTCCAATGGGCGTATCAAAATCTGGGATGCCTATACAGGTAAGGGATATCTTAATATATATACTTGGATCCTATTTGCCTTGATTATGAGCCAGTTTGGGGAATTTGTGGCTCTCTAGAAAATAATTATGAATGACAGCTCCCAGTATACTTGGCCTGGGGCTGAGGGGAGCTGGAGTCCAGACATGATCTGGAAGGCCCTATTTTTCTGCCATACTGTAAGAAATGTTTATATAGTGGCTAATGTTGCTTTTGGAGTCATTTTTTGCCCTCAAACCGCCATAACAGATACATTAAGCAAACTTATTTAGCGCTGAGAACTACTGGAAAAGTAGGACAGATTGGGGTGGGAAGGGGGGAACTGGGGGAAGGGGAATGACTGAGTTGTGAACTGGGAGCTGGAAACTGGGAAAGGCTGGGATGGAAATGAGGCCTGGAAAAGTGGGAAAGACCCCAGTCTAGAGTGTGGTGGGAGGATTGGGAAAAGCCGGGGAAATTGGGGTGGGAAAGGGGCGGGGGTTGGAAAAGATTGGGATGGGGCAAAGGAAGATTGCAAAATGAGTAAGACTGGGGTGCAAAAGGAGGGGCTGGATAGGTGGAAAGATTGCAGTGAGAATGAGGCAAGTGGAGAAGTTGAAAAGACTGAGGTGAGAAAGAGGGGCTGGGAAAGTGGGAAACAGCAGTGGGAAACGGGGCAAGATTGAAATGGGAAAGAGAGGCTGGAACCTGGAAAAGGCTGGTATTGAAAGGGAGCTGGAAAAGTAAGAGAGGGGGGCAGGGGATAGTAAAGACTGGGTTAGGAAGGGGAAAACTAGAAAAAGGGAAGACTGGGGTGGGAAAGGGGTGCAGAAAAAGTGGGGAAAAACTCAGGTGGGAAGGATTGAGGAGACGAAGGCGCACAGCCTCTTCTTTCTTGGCATAGTGAAAGGAGAGGAAGGCACGCAGCCTCTCCTTTCTTGGCATATTGAGAGGAGAGGAAGGTGCGCAGCCTCTCCTTTCTTGGCATAGTGAGAGGAGAGGAAGGTGCGCAGCCTCTCCTTTCTTGGCATAGTGAGAGGAGAGGAAGGCGTGCAGCCTCTCCTTTCTTGGCATAGTGAGAGGAGAGGAAGGTGCGCAGCCTCTCCTTTCTTGGCATATTGAGAATAGAGGAAGGTACGCAGCCTCTCCTTTCTTGGCATAGTGAGAGGAGAGGAAGGCGCGCAGCCTCTCCTTTCTTGGCATATTGAGAATAGAGGAAGGCGCGCAGCCTCTCCTTTCTTGGCATAGTGAGAGGAGAGGAAGGCGCGCAGCCTCTCCTTACTTGGCATAGTAAGAGGAGAGGAGGGTGCGCAGCCTTTCTTGGCATAGTGAGAGGAGAGGAAGGCACGCAGCCTCTCCTTTCTTGGCATAGTGAGAGGAGAGGAAAGTGCGCAGCCCTTCCTTTCTTGGCATAGTGAGAGGAGAGGAAGGCGCGCAGCCTCTCCTTTTTTGGCATAGTGAGCCCTAAAAAAGGGCTGAAAAATTAGGCTTATATTTGAGTATATACAGTAATTGCTAAGGAAGACAAAAGGTACTTGAGGCATATGCATTTAGTGTTTGAGCAGCCACTGTTTGAGTACACATGCTGAGTTAGATTGAACCTTGGGCCATTGCCCTGAAGGGTGATCTTGTCATGTCTGCTCATTAGTTTAATGTTTCTCTAGTACTGTAGTACTTACCCAGATGATTGTTGGCTTGCAATTGTAACTTCTATTTATTGCCTTAAATGTGATCATTTTGTAAAAATTGCTTTGATCTGTGAACAGAGCCGGGTCTTTGCAGCTGTAACTTTTCACCCAGTTCACTTTACAGTCCGGGTGAAAATTAATAGCTGGATTCCTTAGAGCCATGATAGCATGGCCCATGGTAATCCTTGAACATCAAACAGGCTGCCAAGCTGCTTTTCTTTCAGAGTAAACCTTGGCACTGTATGGAAGATAAGCTTTCCTGGCAGTCGGTCTAGAAAGCTTATCCAGTAGATAAAACAAGAATGTTACTAGAAATGATCTATATTTTGGGATCAGGGGTTAACTAAACAAAATATTGTATAGCATCAAGCTTGACCTCAAATCAGCCAATTCAAAGTATAAAGGGAAAACGTTTCAGTAAGTATTTTTAAAAGCTTCCTGGTTGTCAAATCACTTTGGTGGATGTTTCAGCCATGACTAGTGCTGGTGAGGATTGAGTAAAAGACCTTCAGTTTATTATTCAGCACGGTGTGTGGTGTCTTTCCACATTCAGAAAGACGACTCTTTCTCCCCATTGTAAATACATAAGATAAGTACATGTCCAGAGTATGTGGCACATAGCCCCATTATCAGGACAAACAAGAGTTTATGGCACCTCCAAGGCTAATAGAGTTTATATGGAAGAAGTTTGATAGGCTACCTTTTCTGAACGAGCAGTCACAAGTAAATCTTATTTAGACACAAGTGTGCTTTCGACCTGCGTAACTGTGAAGCCAACAGGATATTGAAAGTTTGCTTGGGAAGGCCAAGAGCTCAAACACTGTTCCCCCCTAAATATCTCAGTGTCTCATTAGATTGAACACTGCATGGGGTGCAGACCCAAAATTAATAAGATTGGCCTAGTCTTACTGTTGAGATTAATTTCACAATTCAGCAGCAGGTCAGTTGCACAACTTCAGTGCTTTCCAGTAGCTTCTTCCTTCACAGTATTTTCAGTCAACTGCTCCCACAGCCTGCAGTCACTCTGGAACCTTTTACAGACACTTGAGCTCATGCCAGGCCATTGTCAGTTTTACCATTGTCTTTCCCCCAGTCTAGATGATATTACAAACTTACCACAGCATACAGTTATATCTTGTCTTAGCAGACAGGTTCTTTTAATTACATATAGCCTTCGACGAACAACATCACAGCACAAGGAGAAATATACACTGTACATTACTTCCTTATATACAATTCTATACAATTACACATAGCAATCTCTGATTGGTTCCCAACTCATTAACTTAACTCAGACCCAGGATTACATCATTCACAATCACCTGGACTAGGCCAGAACACATTCCCCAAATGATTCCCTATATACAGTTAATGCATGACCCAGCATTCCCAATAGAAGCCTATTAGCAGTGCATGACTCAGCTATATTACATTACAATACATTGTAAAACCTGACACTTACTCAACTGCTGAATATGCCTGCCCTGTTTGGCACAAGTCTGCCCACACAAAGCAGGTGAATATAGCACTGAATGAAGCATGCAGAATAATCACAGGATGTCTCAAACCTACACCTGTTGGTAGACTTTATAACAGGGGTCCTCAAACTAAGGCCCGATGGCCAGATACGGCTCTCCAAGGTCATTTACCCGGCCCTCGCTCAGGGTCAACCTAAGTCTGAAACGACTTGAAAGCATTGTTGTTCGTTTTAATTATTGTATTGTTTTAAGTGTTTTTTTGCACTACAAATAAGATGTGTGCATGGGAATTCATTCATGGTTTTTTTAAAATTATAATCTGGCCCTCCAACAGTTTGAGGGACTGTGACCTGGCCCTCTATTTAAAAAGTTTGAGGACCTCTGCTTTATAAGCTAGTTGGCATTGCCCCCCTCCTGATGTGTGATGGGAAGTTGCTGCTAACTGTGAGAGAAATAAGGTTGAACACTGTGAAAGCCACCTACTACATGGCTACCAGCCTCCTCCCAGTAGACTCAAATCAAGGGAAAGTTTCATGAGAACCACCACTCATCTAAATGTTCCCCTAGCGACAGCAAGAGCATCCTCTGGGCAGCTAAACCAGGCAATCCCAATTGGATGACCCCCCCCCCCCCCCCCCCCCCCCCCCCAATAAGGGTCTGCTTCCAGGGGCAAACCAAGAATGGGCAACTTGGAAGTCCTTGAACAGTTAAAGTTGGCAGATCAAAACCTGGCAAAATGACACTACCTTGTGCAACCATGAAGCAGAACAAACAACTCTGCACCTGTATGCTTGCCCACAATGCCCTGCCTCATCCACAGTGGTAGAACTGTTTCAAGCTATAGACAATGTGGCCGTTGTTGCCTGTTTTTGGTCTACAGTTATTTAGCTGCTTGTGTTTCCTCTATTTTATTAGTTGTATACTAATTTATTTATGCAATGCTTTTGACCCGAAATAAATAAGTCTTACTGTTCTTTAACTTCTGATTAGCCCTCTAATTCTGGCTAGAAATATATAATGTAATATATTGTATATACATATAATATTGATAATTACTTCTACTAATAATATGATATTATAATTCTGCATTTTATATTAAATGTAATATTTCTAATATTACAGTATAATGTTATAGTACAGTGTAATATATAATATTAATATTGTGTTATGGTAATAATATAATGTATTTACTTTTTACTTGTAAGCCACTCTGAGTCCCCTTCGGGGTGAGAAGGGCGGCATATAAATGTTGTAAATAAATAAATGAATAAAATAGAATTTGAAATCAGGATGCTTTGATTGTGTGTTCCTGTGTGGCGGGGGTTGGAATGGAATGGTCCTTGTGGTCTCTTCTATGACTCTTATGAAATTAATACTGGGCTCTTTCAACAGGAAAGCTCCTCCTTAATTTAATGGACCACACAGAAGTTGTACGAGACTTAACGTTTGCTCCTGATGGGAGTCTGATACTGGTATCTGCCTCAAGAGACAAAACCCTACGAGTGTGGGACCTAAAAGATGATGGTACGTTATAGCAGTGGGAGATAATTTCCACGAACCATGAAACAACTGCCAGGAAAGAATTGGAGTTGTGATTATGTGATCATGTAATAGGGTTTATATGTATAATGGTATTGATGATCCTTGGAATGCCTTTTGATGGTAATTAAAGAAATAGCTGCATTTTTAAACTAGGGAGATAAGCTATTGCGTTAAACCAGTGTTTCTCAACCTGGGGGTCGGGACCCCTGAGGGGGTCGCGAAGGGGTGTCACAGGGTTCGCCAAAGACCATCAGAAAACACAATATTTTCTGATGGTCATGGGGATTCCATATGGGAAGTTTGAGCCAATTCTATCGTTGGTGGAGTTCAGAATGTTCATTGATTGTAATGAACTATAAATCCCAGAAACTACAACTCCCAAAAGTCAAGGTCTATTTTCCCCAAGTTCCACCAGTGTTCACATTTGTTCACATATGGGAACTTTGAGGCAATTCTATCGTTGGTGGAGTTCAAAATGTTCTTTGATTGTAATGAACTATAAATCCCAGCAACTACAACTCCCAAAAGTCAAGGTCTATTTTCCCCAAGCTCCACCAGTGTTCACATTTGCACATATTGAGTATTTGTGCCAAGTTTGGTCCAGATCCACCATTGTGTGAGTCCACAGTGCTCTCTGGATATAGGTGACCTACAACTCCCAAACTCAAGGTCAATACCCACCAAGCCCTTCCAGTATTTTCCATTGGTCATGGGAGTTCTGTGTGGCAAATTAGGTTCAAATCCATCGCAGGTGGAGTTCAGAATGCTCTTTGATTATAGGTGAACTATAAATCCCAGCAACTACAACTCCCAAATTACAAAATCAATCCTCCCCTAACCCCACTAGCATTTACATGTGGTTGCATTGTGTATTTGTGCCCAGTTTGGTCCAGTGAATGAAAATACATCTTGCATATCTGATATTTACATTATGATTTATAACAGTAGTAAAATTACTGTTATGAAGTAGCATGAAAACAATATTATGGTTGGGGGTCACCACAACATGAGGAACTGTATTAAGGGGTCACGGCATTAGGAAGGTTGAGAACCACTGCATTAAACCATTGAGTAATAGTAAACGAAGTAGGGTTTGAAAAGGAGCTTCCTAGGACTGCAAGGGCTCAGTTGAGGCATCTCACATTTGGAAATGGTGATTGAGTCAGATGGCTCAGTGCCAACCTTTTTTATTTTTGGCAGATCAGGAAGCAGCTTGGTTAGTTGTGACCATCTGACTTCCATTTCTTGGCTTTGACTTCCTTACTGGCCCCAACAGGATTCCGCTGCTTTCTTGTAGATTTGTCACCCACAGACCTAGCCAAGCTAGCAAAAACTTGCCCTGTATGGCTTTGAAATCTGGAATAACATTTAGAGCAACAAGTGGGAAAGAAAGCAGTCCCAGTTCTACCAGGATTGCATAACAAAGCAGGACTGTGGGTATAGTCCTGTGATCTTGGTTTGTGGTCTAAATCTAATGAATAACACTTTACTTCTGTGTTTTTCCCCCTTTTTTGAGTTTTATTTCCCTGGTCATGTGTCAAAATGGGAACTCTAGTGGAAAGGGTGGCGTAATAAACACAGAGGCTTTGTATTAAACAATGCAAATAGAGGGGAGTGTGTGTCTTTGTTGAACTGATAAACCGTGGTGGCTAAAATCAATAATGAACCATATGCCACACCCCAAAGCTTCCATTGTGCCTCATAGGAATAATTTCACTGGAAACGTTCAAAAAGAACCTTAAAACCTGGCTCTTCTGCTGCGCCTTTGGCGAGTAGGTGCACAACATGACACTATGGCTCCCCTCAATGCTTCTGCCACTGGAGTACACACCCACAAAATGGGAAATTTAGTTCCACAACCCTGTGTGTTTTTATGAGCTCCATGCAAATACCCTGCTCTTTTTTTTATCTCATTAGAGTTTTTAATAATTTTATCCTGTAATAATAATAATAACAGGTAAAGGTAAAGGTAGTCCCCTGACATTAAGTCCAGTCATGTCTGACTCTGGGGTGTGGTGCTCATCTCAATTTCTAAGCCGAAAAGCCAGCGTTGTCCGTAGACACCTCCAAGGTCATGTGGCCGGCATGACTGCATGGAGCGCCCTTACCTTCCCGCCGGAGCGGTACCTATTGATCTACTCACATTTGCATGTTTTCGAACCTGCGACCTTTCGATCAACAAGCTCATCAGCTCAGTGCTTTAACCCACTGCGCCACTGGGGGCTCCCTAATAATAAATAAATAAATAAATAATAATAATATAATAATAAAGCTTTATTTATACCCCGCTACCATCTCCCGCAGGATTCGGTGCGGCTTACAAGAGGCAGAGTCCAAATACATCATAAAAACATAACAACAATACAACTATAAATAACTCACAACAAAGCAAAACAATACAATAATGACACGACGCATTTAAAAACCTGTGGCAGGGCCAACTGTAAGGATTGAAATTTAAAATGCTGGGCATGTCCAAGGGAAATAGGAAAGGTATTTTAGGGATGGTGGGCGTGCAGACAGTTCCCACCCACTGTTATTGTGATTGTGTTTATTGGAATGTTATTTTGTTTATACTTTTTTCCTATGTAATTTTGATGATGTTGCTTGTTGTTTATGTTCTGGTTTTATTTTGCTGTAACGTGTTGTCTGGGCTTGGCCCCATGTAAGCCGCTCCACATTGGGGAGATGGTGGCGGGATATAAATAAAGATTATTATTATTATTATTATTATTATTATTATTATTATTATTATTTTCCATTCTTGCAGGAAGGGCTCACTGTTCAAAAACAGATTAGGGAGATCACAACAACAACTCTCTTCTTCTCATGGCTCGAGGTGAAGGACAGCATAGTTAAAAGCATAGATAAAACATAATACGATTAAAATCCATATATTAAAACACACAGAACAAAGACTGGCACCAATACTAATCTATCTATACACATAATAAAAGTGAAAATACAAGACAAACGAGGTTTGGGGAGAATTCACCATGATTTATTGGAGTTGTAGGTACTGGGATGTATAGGTCACCTGCAATCTAAGAGCACTCTGAATTCCACCAGTGATGGACCTGGAACTAACTTGGCACACAGGTCCCCAAGCTAGTAAAATATAAGGTTAAAAATCATAATTTAAAATTGACTGAGTAAACCTGCTGGGAGAAATGTGTTGTATCTTGAATTCTGACTGTTTATCTTCCATCGAGTCATTCCACAGGAGAAATGACCAATTATTGCCCTCTAGAAAGGGCCAAAAATTGGAAATGGAGTTAAGGAGCAGATAATATAATATATATACATATACTATTTATAATATTATAATGTAATACAAAATAATACTAATAATAATAATACAATATTATAATTATATATTTTATATTACATGTAATATTACTAATAATATCACAATATAAGTACATTATAGTAATATATAATACTGATACTGTGCTATGGTAATAATATATATTGTATGTCTATATATATATATATATCTTGTAAGCCACTCTGAGTCCCCTTCGGAGTGAGAAAGGTGGCATATAAATGCCATAAATAAATAACTCAAAATGTATAGATATTTTCCATTGATATTAGGGTGTTGCTGATGCTAACTGTACTTTATCTCCCTCCCTTTGTGTTTTGTAGGAAATATGATGAAAGTATTAAGAGGGCACCCAAACTGGGTGTTCAGCTGTGCTTTTTCTCCAGATTCTTCTATTCTTTGCTCCGTGGGGGCCAATAAAACAGTAGGTATCCAAGTTTCGTGATCTCGGGCTTGTATTTTGATTGTGAGCAAAGCAAATGATTTCCAATGGTAAAATAAAGCCAGGCTTGTGCTCGGTGTCCAGTTGTATGATAAATGATTATTTTGTTGATGATGACAATGCAAGGAATTGCATGCCTTTAAAAAAAACCAGTAAGTTAACACTTACTGCGCTGAACACGCATTGCTTTTAGGTTAAGAGAATCTGGGTATGCTTTTTGCCAAGTGGCTGTGCGCATCTCCATCTGTTCCTTAACTTTTTTTAAAAAAAGAAGTAAGCATTATGTTCTAGTTTAAGAATAGTTTCTGCCTCAATGAGCTTTTGAATATTTTTAGTGGTACTCACTTCAAAAGTCTATTGGTCTGATTTAGCAGGAAATAGCAGTATTTGCCTAGTAGTGACAAAGAGCTTTTTAACTCAGTGAATCGCAAGGAAATTGAGCTAGTTCTGCATAGAGTTGTATTGCAATAACCTAATACAAAACATAATGTGGTGTAATTGAATGACATTAGCAAGTTGCATTGTACTATGAAGTGTAGAACCAGTTTGTATAGAGAGCCCATTAGTATATGGTTATGATCTTAGTTATGTTTATTTGTGAATGCATCCCCAGTGAAATAAGTTGAGCAAATGTCTGAATAAAGACAAGATAGAGCTGGTAATATAGTCTGCCCTCCAGATTTGCAGGTTTTATTATTTGCGCATTTGATTGATACAGTCTTTAGGGATCTCTAGGTCCTCCAGTGCAGCAACAGTGGACCATAGAGTCACTCTGGAGAACTTTAGAGATTCCTAGAGAGTGTGTTTATTGTTTTTTAATACTATCATGGCAGTCTTGCACCCTTAACCCCAATGAATGTGGGAGGCTGACTATATAGAGAGATTCTAGTCCATTTCAGATAGGATCAGTCTCAGGGTGGGCAACTTGTATCCTCTGAGGCCACTTAGTGGAATTCTGGAATCTTCAGTCCTATCTTAACAATATTAAATATTCATTGACTTGGAAATGATGCTGAAAATATTAAATTTCTAAACCTTTCAGCAAATAGTTTCTAAAACCCTATGCCAGATTCCTATTTAAGACATGGACTCACGTTGATTCAATTTTGTTTGTGAGCCAGAGTTGCAGAAATGTAACACCTTGATAAGCTCTATACGTCACCGTCACCTTCCAAAAATCCTCAAAATGCTGAACAGCATGACTTAGCTATATGTGCACATGTCAGGCTGGGACTGGTATGTACGAGAGTTATCAAAGTAAGGTTACAAGGCATAGTTCTCGCGGGGAATTTTTGCGGGAGAAGTTGGTTCACTGCCCTGTAGAGCGAAGCCCACGGAAGCGAACGAGCAGTGCCAGTCACCAGTAGCTCATCAACTGCCGTTGTGGTGTAAATTAGAGAGCATTCTGTTTTCCTCCAAGTGCAAAGTTCACTCTATGAGGGATATCTGGAAAGTGAGGTTACAATATTTTTTTAAATACAAAGACTGAGTATATTTTAATAAAACTTACATGGATTCCAGCATAGGTCTCACATTATTTTTCCACATAATCACCATTGCACTAAAAATGCAAGCATGTTTCTGTATACATTTTGTCATCAGTGGGATGACATTTTTGACGCCTGTATCTTAGAAGTCTCCCGCTGCCATTTTCAGCCACGTCTCAGTCACAATGGACGGCCATCAGCTTCTGTTTTCATCGTGAATTTATGTCCTTGAAATTCCATACCCATTTTGCCAGATGCTGTCTCGGCATTACGTCTTCTCCATAAACTGAAACGATCTCACAATGAATCACAGCGGCGTTCATGCCCTTCGCATTTAGGTAGTGTATTACAGCGCAAACTTTGCACTTGGAGGGAAACAGAATGTGGACTCTCATCTCTAACCTTTACCATAACTGTTGGTGATCTGGAAGCTCAAGTTGGTACAAAATGCAGCTGCTCGGCTTCTTGCGGGAATTCCGATGAGATGCCACATAACACCAATCTTACTACAGCTGCATTGGTTACCGATTGAGCACCGGATCACTTTCAAAGTGATGGTACTTACCTTTAAGGCCTTGCATGGTCTGGGGCCGATGTACCTGAGGGACCGCCTCACCCCCTACCAACCCCAGAGATCCCTCCATTCTGAGGACCAAGATCTATTGGAAGTCCCCAGTGTCAAGACCTTGCGTCTAACAGCAACCAGACGCAGAGCCTTTACAGCAGTGGCACCATCACTCTGGAATACTCTGCCACCTGAAGTCTGTGCCTTGTGGGATTTATCAGCTTTCAGCAGGGCATGTAAGACATATCTATTTCGACGGGCCGTTGATCTCTGATTGTTTTTAAATTGTTTTAAATTGTTTTTAAATTGTGTTAGATTTTAGCCTGTTCTTGTAAGCCGCTCCGAGCCCCAAGGGAGTGGCGGCATATAAGTTCAAATAATAAATAAATAAATAAACAACAACAATAACACATTTATTATGTATTTCTAACAGGGTAAGATAATAAATAACCTTGACTCGACTATAAGCCGAGCGGGAGTTTTTCAGCCTAAAAAAGGGGCTGAAAAACTAGGCTTATACTCAAGTATATACAGTATATAGATAGGTATTACATAACATAGGTATTACATTATTTTCCCACATAATCACCATTCACATTTTGTTATCCGTGGGAAGAGTTTTTGGATGTCTGTGTCATAGAAATCTCCCGCCACCGTTTTCAGCCACATCATCAGTCAGAACGGCTGACTGTCCACTTCTGTCTTTATCGTGAATTTCTATCCTTCCACAATTGAAATTCTGTACCCATTCTGCCACATGCTGTCTTGGCATTATGTCTTCTCTGTAAACCAAAACTATTTCGCAATGAAATGCAGCGGCATTCATGCCCTTCGCATTTAGGCAGTGTATTACAGCGGAAACTTCGCACTTGGAGGGAAACAGAATGAGGATGCTCATCTCTAACCTTCACCATAACTCCAGTGGATGAGCTACTGACGACTGGCACTGCTCGTTCACTTCCGCTGGCTTCCTGCTACACGGCAGTGATACCAACTTCCCCCGAGGAGATTCCCTGCGAGAGCTACGTGCCTTGTAACCTTTCCAGATAACCCTTGTATGTATGTGTGTGTGTGTGCACGCGCGCGCACACACACACACACAAGGCCAAGATTTATGTTTGCGAACATTTCCCAAGTGGCCTTCAGTTGTTGACCAAGTTGTCCACCCTGTTAAGAACAAGAGCTTTAAAAGTTAGCTACTTTTCATAAGTAATTGAAAGATGCTATTTCTGTTGTCTAATTCGATTTGAAAAGAAAGCATATTGTAGAGGATTAAACAAAAACAGACCCTTGAAACTAGAACAGATGTATGCATTGATCTTGTAGGCTGTGTGTTTTCCATAAGCTTCTTGCTTTCCCTGTCACAGGTGGTGGCAGCAATATTGGTGTGATTGAGGGTAAGCTGGCACCACTCAGACAAGCGCACAATGGTGTTAGCTGGGCAGAAAGATTGGCTCCTCCGGCTACCAGGCTGGAGGCGAACTTTACCCATAGGACGAAGTAACCCTTGCCTTCGGCTGCAGGGTGTCCTGTACGTACGCAGGTGCTGGTTGATGTCCACTTTCTGCTTTTTTTTCCCCCCCTTTCTTTTCTTTTTTTTAATTTCATTTTCACATTGGTGACATCCAGTGGCTCCTCCTTTTAACGTTTGTCTTCCATTGATACGAAACGTTGGGAGTCTCTTAAAGAGCCAAAGCAGTCATTGTAGTTTATTATTACTGACTTTGAACACAGTTTCCTAATGACGTAGTTCTCTAGCAAAGTCTTAAGTTGTTTTGTGCAGATCCTCCTGAAGTATTTAAGCGCTCTGCCTGTTCCTGTGATTCAGGATGGCTGGTTGAAAAATTAAAATTCATTCCTGTGCCATGAAAGCATAAAAATGCAAGCGCATTTCTGTATACATAACCTGTCACAAGTGTGATGCTAAAACATGCCTTGGGAATTTGATAACCCACATTTCCCCACATATCATTAAACTGCTATCTTGTAAAAATGCACAGATGCATGCATTTTGCACTAAGTCATGCCTGTTTATGTTTAAAAACCTGATTAACTGACTTTTGAGTAATGTTATTGATGCTTTTAAAAAACAAAACAATTGTGTAAATGTTTAGTAACTTCATGTATTGTTCTGGAATTTGGCAAAGTCTTTGTCCTTGCCCTTTTTTGCTTCCGGTATCTGTTTCTCTTCCTAGGCTGACGTTGGCGATCCAAGCCTATTGTAAACAAGTGGTCTTAAACTCACTGGGGAATCCACGGGAGTAACCATATGTTAACCTTCCTTTTTTTCTGTCTGTATTTCTTACAATATTGGTAGACAGTTGGGAACTCCCTCAAATGGGAATCTTAGCACTTAACGTTATTACTGTATGTCTTTAAAGTTAAAGCATACGTAACACTTGCTTTTAGTTAAAGATGCTGTGTTGGGAACTTCCAAAAATGGGAATAACATAACGTTATTGCTGTATATCTTTGAAGTTAAACATAAGTAACGTTTGGTCTTTAGTTTTAAAAAGCTGCGTAGTTAAATTTCTGTTTGAAAGTTTATTTACATATGTGTATATATTTATATATATTGGGCTTATGTTATAAATAACACTTAACCCGTTAGCTTTTGCATGTATGCTTCATTTTTTAATTTAAGATGATTCTGGATATGACACTGAGCATATATCTTAATTATCGTGATTCATAATGCTTGGCTTTAATTATAATGCTGGGTCAAACTAGCATAGAGGTCTAGGGAGGGGGATGAGGGGATGGTGGGAATGTATAAATGGCCGCCTTTGCTGGAGCAGAGCTATAACATTTGCCCTTTTTACATTTCAGGTGTTGCTTTGGGATATGGATAAGTACTCCCTCATCCGGAAACTGGAAGGACACCACAATGATGTTGTAGCTTGTGAGTTTTCCCCTGATGGAGCTTTGCTGGCTACAGCATCCTATGACACCCGTGTCTATGTCTGGGATCCACACATCGGAGTGATTCTGAAGGAATTTGGGTAAGAGCAAGGGCAGGATTAGGAGTCCCCAGTGGCACAGCGGATTAAACTACTGAGTTGCTAAACTTGCTAACCAAAAGGTTGTCGGTTTGAATCCGGGGAGCAAAGTGAGCTCCCGCTGTTAGCCCCAGCTTCTGCCAACCTAGCAGTTCAAAAACATGCACATCAATAGGTACTGCTCCAGCATAGAATCATAGAATCAAAGAGTTGGAAGAGACCTCATGGGCCATCCAGTCCAACCCCCTGCCAAGAAGCAGGAATATTGCATTCAAATCACCCCTGACAGATGGCCATCCAGCCCCTGTTTAAAAGCTTCCAAAGAAGGAGCCTCCACCACACTCCGGGGCAGAGAGTTCCACTGCTGAACGGCTCTCACAGTCAGGAAGTTCTTCCTCATGTTCAGGTGGAATCTCCTTTCCTGTTTTGAAGCCAATGCTCCGCGTCCTAGTCTCCAGGGCAGCAGAAAACAAGCTTGCTCCCTCCTCCCTGTGGCTTCCTCTCACATATTTATACATGGCTATCATATCTCCTCTCAGCCTTCTCTTCTTCAGGCTAAACATGCCCAGCTCCTTAAGCCGCTCCTCATAAGGCTTGTTCTCCAGACCCTTGATCATTTTAGTCGCCCTCTCTGGACACATTCCAGCTTGTCAATATCTCTCTTGAATTGTGGTGCCCAGAATTGGACACAATATTCCAGGTGTGGTCAAACCAGAGCGGAATAGAGGGGTAGCAGGAAGGTAACGGCTCTCCATGCAGTCATGCCAGCCACATGACTTGGAGGTGTCTATGGACAACGACGGTTCTTCAGCTTAGAAATGGAGGTGAGGTCTATAAAATATGAGAATTAAGGAAAATTACTACAAAACGATATGGAGATGGTATCTAACTCCCATTAGATTAAATCATATTGATAAAAAAAATACTCAAATCAGTGCTGAAGAGGCTGTCAGGAAATAGGGACTTACCTTGATATGTGGTGGTCATGTAAAATTATACAAAAAAATTGGGAAAGTATATTTAAAGAAATAAGAGCAATAATAAAAATAGAGATTGAGATTACACCAAAATTAACATTATTACTTATACATGATAATATAATTCCCTTACAAGATGAGAAAGAATTGACTGCATTTCTGTGTACGAACCCACGCGATCTCTACGATCATCTGGAGAGGCCCTGCTTGCGCTCCCACCTCCTTCGCAGGCGCGATTGGTAGGGACGAGGGAAAGGGCCTTCTTGGTGGTGGCCCCCCGACTCTGGAACTCACTTCCCAAGGACATCAGACATGCCCAACGCTGGCAGTATTTAGGAGGAGCCTGAAAATGTGGTTGTTCCAGTGTGCCTTCCCAGAATAAGGAAAACTCTTAGCAATATGTCCTCAAATGCACTGTAACATTGATTTAGGATTGCCTGTGCACCCTCACCTTTCTTTGAAACTCCTATCCAGTTATACCCTGCCTTGTTCATGCCCAGCATTATTTTTTAAATTATAAATTGTTACATATGGCCTGACACTCAGCCAGCTGCGCCACAGTCCCGGTGCAGGGTTTTGCAAATTGAGGCACACATTAGATTCTATGGCGCATTAGACTCAGGTCAATATGGCTATAACTTTGAAGGAGCTGGGGGTGGTGACGGCCGACAGGGAGCTCTGGCGTGGGCTGGTCCATGAGGTCACGAAGAGTCGGAGACGACTGAACGAATGAACAACAATTCAACACAGCCCCCATGAGTTGCAACAGATGTCCTAAATTTGTCTGTCTGGCTTATTTTTGGCATAGGTCTTATACAGGGTTAGTCAAAATGAATAGGCCAATAAGAAAATTAATTTTAGACGAATGTATGTTTATTGTAACCAAACTACAGCTACGTAGCGACAGATAAGCTATCAAAGTTTTGTCTCACCTTCAGAGATGTTCGATATGGGCGCCCCGTGTGACACGGCAGATGTCCAAGCGATAGTCCAGTTCATTCCACATCCGTTGCAGCACATCCGACGTAATGGCATCGAATGCAGCAACGTCTGGGAAGGTGTTCGTTGAGGTCCTAACCCTAACCCTATCCCTAACCCTAACCCTATCCCTATCCCTATCCCTAACCCTATCCCTAACCCTATCCCTAACCCTAACCCTAACCTAACCCTAACCCTAACCCTTGAAATTCTCGCTGGACCGTAATTACTGACATTGTTTTAGCAAATGTCATCACACAAAACGCCTTCTCTTTGCTTGATTCCGCCATTTTGAAAACAGCGACCCCTAGCGACGCCTAGCGGCATTAACGTACATGTGTGTTGCTCAAAAAAAACTTTGATAGTTTATCTGTCGCTACGTAGCTGTGGTTTGGTTACAGTAAACATACATTCGTCTAAAATTAATTTTCTTATTGGCCTATTCATTTTGACTAACCCTGTATTATGAGGATCTTGAAAAATCATGATAGGGCTTATTTTCTGGTTTAATCTTCTTTTTTTTGGGGGGGGGGGGGTATCCGCTTGATTGGAAACCCCTGCAAGGAACAGGCAAGTTCCAGCTTGTTTTGCTTTTTGAAAACTTGCTTTATGGGAAGGGATTTTTACACCTATTTCTCTTCTAAGTCTCAGAGATTCCCTTTGAATGCTTCCTAGTTAATCATTAAATGCAAAGCCAAGGCCTGCGTCGCTCCTCCGTGAACCAATGTTCCTTTCTTGCCCTTAGGCATCTGTTTCCGCCTCCGACGCCAATATTTGCTGGAGGAGCCAACGACCGATGGGTCAGATCAGTATCTTTTAGTCACGATGGGCTCCACATTGCAACGCTGGCTGATGATAAGTGAGTATGGCAAAAACCAGAGCCGGCTTCTTCTGGCTCTTTCTAGCTGTGAAAAAATGTGAATTATCTAGCACTATGGAGGCCCTTGTGGCCTCCCAGGCATGTAAAACTCCCAATTTCCATTTGCACAGTCACCTCAGCTGTTGGTGAAACAAGAATAGTGAGAGTACACTGCAGCCAGGAAAGCAGAAGATGTTTCCTTCTTGGGAGGAGAGCATACTTTGGCATGCCAGTCCTTCCAACAGCAAGAGAGCCTACATATCCCTTACCTAAAACTGCAGGGTCTCCCAAATGTATCCACAGGAAAATGAGCATGCGATCAGGCCTTTGGAGAATAGGCTGATCTACTGACGTGTTCACTTATTTACAACTGATGGACTGCCCTTGGATAATGATTTAAATCAGTGACCTCTGACTTTTGTTGTCTGTTTTTATATTGTTTATACGGTTCTATACTGTCTATACTGTTTTATATTGTTATTATTACATTGCTGTTAATTGTATGTTTATGTTTTGATGTGGACGCCATGGGGTGCCACTTTGTTAGCCGTCCTGAGTTCATCTGTGGAGGCTGAGAAAGGACGGGATATTTACTTACTTATTTGTTGTGTCAGGGCAACCAGTCAACCAATGTATTGATGGGTTTGCTGTGAGTTTTCATGGCTGTATGGTCATGTTCCAGAAGTATCTTCTTCCCTAAAGGCAGAAGGATGTTGAACTGGATGGTCTTGAGTCTTAAGACTTGAGAGGTCCCTTCCAACCCTATTCTGACTCTATAAACTGAGAGGCTGGATTGCCATCTATCAGGAGGGCTTAGATTGTGCCTTCCTGCATTGGGGTTGGACTGGTCGACCCTTTCAAATTTTATGATTCTATGAGTCCAAGATTGGGGCAAAAGTGGGAAATTTATTTATTTGTCGTGTCAGGGCAACCAGTCAATTATATTAGATTTCTAACAGAACAAAGCAAACAAACAGACAAAATACAAAATGTGTGAGTTTGGTAGTTGATTAAATGTCCTTTGACCAGTATCTGGCCACTTGGAGTGCTTCTGGTGTTGCTGCAAGAAGGTCCTCCATTGTGCATGTGGCTGGGCTCAGGTTGCATTGCAGCAGGTGGTCAGTGGTTTGCTCTTCTCCACACTCGCATGTCGTGATTCCGCTTTGTAGCCCCATTTCCTGAGGTTGGCTCTGCATCTTGTGGTGCCAGAGCACAGTCTGTTCAGCGCCTTCCAAGTCGCCCAGTCCTCTTTGTGCCCAGTGGGGAGTCTCTCATTTGGTACCAGCCATTGGTTGAGGTTCTGGGTTTGAGCCTGCCACTTTTGGACTCTCATTTGCTGAGGTGTTCCAGCGAGTGTCTCCATAGATCTTAGAAAACTATTTCTAGATTTAAGTCGTTGACGTGCTGGCTATAGGACGGGATATAAAAGCCATAAATAAATAATAATAAATAATAAATAAAGAAAATGTCCACTTTGCATACAACTCCCTGATTCCATTCTGTATTAAGAGAATATGGGGGTCACATCTGTATATTAAAAACAGGGAGCAGTCACCCTAATATTTTGGGTTTTTTAAAAAACATTTTTCTTTTCAGTCATTTCCCTGCTCAGAATCAATCTGCAGCAAAATCAGCTAATCCTGAAGAAATACAGAATGGAGTTAAATATGCTATTCCTTGTCCAACATCCCACTGTTCAAAATTGTCTTTCCTAACTCATAGAATCATAGAGTTGGAAGAGACTTCGTGGGCCATCCAGTCCACCCCTGCCAAGAAGCAGGAATATTGCATTCAAAGCACCCCTGACAGATCCAGCCTCTGTTTAAAAGCTTCCAAAGAAGGAGCCTCCACCACACTCCAGGGCAGAGAGTTCCACTGCTGAACGGTTCTCACAGTCAGGAAGTTCTTCCTCATGCTCAGATGGAATCTCTTTCTTGTAGTTTGAAGCCATTGTTCCATTGTGTCCTAGTCTCCAGGGAAGCAGAAAACAAGCTTGCTCCCTCCTCCCTGTGACTTCCCCTCACATATTTATACATGGCTATCATGTCTCCTCACACAGCCTTCTCTTCTTCAGGCTAAACATGCCCAGCTCCTTAAGCCGCTCCTCATAGAGCTTGTTCTCCAGACCCTTGATCATTTTAGTCGCCCTCCTCTGGACACATTCCAGCTTGTCAAAACTCCTTTAATCATAACATCTCTTTCTGTCTTATTGACTGGGTGGATTATAATAAATTGTGGCAAGTTCTTGGTAGTATGGGAAGATTAAATCATTTTGTGTCTCCAGAGGAATTTGTATAATGACCAAGTAGCAACAGTAAGAACAGACCACAGAACAACAGACTGATTCAAGATTGGGAAAGGGGTACGGCAGGGCTGTCTACTCTCACCTGACCTATTCAACTTGTATGCAGAACACATCATGAGATGGGCAGGGTTTGAGTAATCCTTGGTTGGAGTTTAAATGGCTGGAAGAAACATTAACAACCTTGGATATGCAGATGATACCACTTTGATGGTGAGGAGGAGCTGAGGAGCCTTCTAACCAATGTGAAAGAAGAAAGGGCAAAAGCTGGGTTGCAATTCAACATGAAAAAAAACCAAGATGATGGCAACCAGATTGATTGATAACTGGCAAATAGAGTGAGAAAAGATGGAGGCAGTGACAGACTTTGTATTTCTAGGCATAAAGATGACTGCAGACACAGACTGCAGCCAGGAAATCAGAAGATGTTTACTTCTTGGAAGGAGAGTAATGACCAATTTCGATAAAATAGTGACGAGTAGAGACATCACACTGGAAACCAAGGTCCACATAGTTAAAGCAATGGTATTCCCCGTAGTAACCAATGAAAGAGAGATCTAGACCATAAGGAAGACTGAGCGAAGGAAAACATACTCTATTGAAATGTGGTGTTGGAGGAAAATTCTGAGAGTGCCTTGGACCACGAAAGATCAAAACAGTCCATACTCCAGGAAATAGCCCGTCTGCTCACTGGAGGAAAGGATATAAGAGGCAAAGATGAAGTACTTTGGCCACATAATGAGAAGAGCTTGGAGAAGACAATGATGCTGGGGAAAATGGAAGGAAAAAGGAAGAGGGGCCCATGGAGAACAAGATGGATGGATGGTATTCTTAAATTGACTGGCTTGACCTTGAAGGAGTTGGGGGTGGCCACGGCCGAGCTCTGGCGTGAGCTGATCCAGGAGGTCTCCAAGAGTTGGAAGCCAATCTTCAAGAAGGGAAAAAAGGATGACCCAAACAACTACCGTCCGGTCAGCCTCACGTCGATACCGGGCAAGATTCTGGAAAAGATTGTTAAGGAAGCGTTCTGCAAACACTTAGAAAATGCAGTCATCGCTAATAGTCAACATGGATTTATCAAAAACAAGTCATGCCAGACTCATCTGATCTCTTTTTTCGATAGAGTTACAAGCTGGATAGATGCGGGGAATGCCGTGGATGTAGCGTACCTGGATTTCAGTAAGGCCTTCGACAAGGTCCCCCATGACCTTCTGGCAAGGAACTAGTCCAATGTGGGCTAGGCAAAACTACAGTGAGGTGGATCTGTAATTGGTTAAATGGAGGAACCCAGAGGGTGCTCACCAATGCTTCCTCTTCATCCTAGAAAGAAGTGATGAGTGGAGTGCCACAGGGTTCCGTCCTGGGCCGGTTCTGTTCAACATCTTTATTAATGCCTTAGTTGAAGGTAAGAAGGCATGATCATCAAGTTTGCAGATAACACCAAATTGGGAGGGATAGCCAATAGTCCAGAAGACAGGAGCAGAATTCAAAATGATCTTGACAGATTAGAGAGATGGGCCAAAACTAACAAAATGAAGTTCAACAGTGACAAATGCAAGATACTCCACTTTGACAGAAAAAATGAAATGCAAAGATACAGAATGGGGACGCCTGGCTCGAGAGCAGTACGTGTGAAAAAGATCTTGGAGTCCTCGTGGACAACAAGTTAAACATGAGCCAACAATGTGATGTGGCAAAAAAAGCCAATGGGATTTTGGCCTGCATCAATAGCATAGTGTCTAGATCTAGGGAAGTAATGCTACCCCTCTATTCTGCTTTGGTTAGACCACACCTGGAATATTGTGTCCAATTCTGGGCACCACAATTCAAGAGAGATATTGACAAGCTGGAATGTGTCCAGAGGAGGGCGACTAAAATGATCAAGGGTCTGGAGAAGAAGCCCTATGAGGAGCGGCTTAGGGAACTGGGCATGTTTAGCCTGAAGAAGAGAAGGCTGAGAGGAGATATGATAGCCATGTATAAATACGTGAGAGGAAGCCACAGGGAGGAGGGAGCAAGCTTGTTTTCTGCTTCCTTGGAGACTAGGACGCGGAACAATGGCTTCAAACTACAAGAGAGGAACATGAACAAGGAAGAACTTCCTGACTGTGAGAGCCGTTCAGCAGTGGAACTCTCTGCCCCGGAGTGTGGTGGAGGCTCCTTCTTTGGAAGCTTTTAAAGCAGAGGCTGGATGGCCATCTGTCAGGGGTGATTTGAATGCAATATTCCTGCTTCTTGGCAGGGGGTTGGACTGGATGGCCCATGAGGTCTCTTCGAACTCTTTGATTCTATGATTCTATGACTGAACAAATAAACAACAAGAAAAGGCAGAAAAAGCAGCTTTGTGCTTTCCAGATATTTTGGTTGACAGTAACTCAAAGCCCCACCAACTTCTCAGCCAGGAACCATTGTTAGTTCCCATATTGTTGGCTCTTGCTTAAGAGAATTCTGATCTGTCCCTTTGCTGCAAACATTCACACACACAAATGGGTGTGTCTATCCTATTTTGGATAAATATTACATAAGTGTCAATGCTGCATAACAGTGCTATTACATAAGTGATACTATCCCATGATTGGGGCCCACGCAATGCCACGGAGCCTCATGTTTCAACACGGGAATAGGCTGCTCAGTCCATTGACACATCAAGTAAGAAGAATTTATTCTGAGGCAGGACTTTCCATTTGATTGCCCTAAATTTCCAGTTGTCGTACTTGAAATGCTTCAAATGGCCAGGCTCAGAAGCTACGAGGGTTGAATGAAAAGTAATGCCTCCACCTTTGTAACTCCTCAACAGATGGCAGTACTGGTATGCGGCAGGTACTGGCTTGTTCAGTAGACTCTCCTCTACAGTTCCATTTTGGCAGGAAGCCTTAGCATTGAACAGTTGTGTTGTTAAAGTACAAAGTATGGAACCCTGCGCAGACGGCCGGTCAGTGCGACTTAAGCAACATGCAGTCATTGAATTCTTGAATATACGGTACTTATACAAGGGTTGAATGAAAAGTAATGCCTCCACCTTCATAACTTCTCAACAGATGGCAGTACTGGTATGCGGCAGGTACTGGCTTGTTCATTAGACTATCCTCTACAGTTCCATTTTGGCAGGAAGCCTTAACATTGAACGGTTGTGTTATTAAGTGTAAAGTAACGCCTCCACCTTCGGAACTGCTCAACAGATGCAGTACTGGTATGCGACAGATACTGGCTTGTTCAGTAGACTCTCCTCTACATTTCCATTTTGGCGGGAAGCCTTAGCATTGAATAGTTGTGTTGTTAAAGTGTAAAGTATGGAACCCTTTGCAGATGACTGGTCAATGTGACTTAAGCAACGTGCAGTCATTGAATTCTTGACAGCAGAAGGTGTCACCCCAAAGAGATTCATCAGAGAATGCAAGCTGTTTAGGGCAATAGTGTTGATGTGGGTACTGTGTGTCATTGAGCGAGTAAGTTTAAAGATGTTGAGGTGGGAACATCTGACCAACCTGCGTGACAAACAAAGAGTTGGATATCCTGTGACAGCAACCACCAAGTTTCACAAGCAAAAGGTTGACAGATTGGTTCAGGACGATCGTTGTATCACTCGGAGAGAAATTTAAATTACAATCGGCATTTCACAAGAATGTGTGGGTCACATTATTGCTTTGCTTGGCTATCGGAAGATCCGTGCACGTTGGGTACCCAGGATGCTGATGCCTGACATGAAAGCGCACAGACTTTAACTTCAGAGACTGGATCTCACCACCATACAACATCCTCCACACCATACAACATCCTCCAGATTTAGCACCGTCTGACTTCCATCCGTTCTCGATAATTAAAGAAGATCTGTGGGGACATCATTATGCTTCTGATGAAGACATCGAGAGAACTGTGAGGCACTGGTTGCGGAAATAAGAGTCTCACAGAGTGTCGACTTTTTCCATTATGGCTTCAGAAAACTTGTTCATTGTTGGCAGAAATGTATCCAATTGTCTGGTGATTATGTAGAAAAGTGAATAGTGGTAGTTAAAGAGCACATTCTAAGGCAGTGTTTCTCAACCTGGGGGTTGGGACCCCTGGGGGGATCGCAAGGGGGTCTCAGAGGGGTCACTAAAGACCATCAGGAAACAGTATTTTCTGTTGGTCACAATAGTTCTGTGTGCCAAGTTGGGTTCAATTCCATCATTGGTGGAGTTTGGAATGCTCTTTGATTGTAGCTGAAGTATAAATCCCAGCAACTACAACTCCCAAATGTCAAGGTCTAGTTTCCCCAAACTCCACCAGTTGTTCACATTTGGGCATATTGAGTATTGGTGGCAAATTTGGGCCAGATCCATCATTGTTTGAGTCCACCGTGCTTTCTGGATATAGGTAAACTACAACTCCAAAACTCAAGGTCAATGCCCACCAAACCCTTCCAGTATTTTCCGTTGATCATGATAGTTCTGTGTGCCAGGTTTGGTTCAATTCCATCATTGGTAGAGTTCGGAATGCTCTTTGATTTTAGGCGAACTATAAACCTCACCAACTACATCTCCCAAATGACAAAATCAATCCTTCCAACTCCCCCCCCCCCCCCCCCCCCCCAGTATTCAAATGTGGGCATATGGGGTGTTTGTGCGAAATTTGGTCCAGTGAATGAAAATACATCCTGCATATCAGATATTTACATTACGATTCACAACAGTAGCAAAATTACAGTTATGAATTAGCAACGAAAATAATTTTATGGTTGGGGGTCAACACAACATGAGGAACTGTATTAAGGGGTCACGGCATTAGGAAGGTTGAGAACCACTGTTCTCAGGATTATTTCTGCGTTTGATTTATGAAAATATTTCCATCCAAACCCAAGTAACGAAGGTAGAGGCATTATTTTTCATTCAACCCTCGTATCTATTGCATTTTAAAATCAGTGCCCACATGTACAATCAAAGAGTTGGATCATTCCTTGGCTTATTAGGATTGTCCTTGCACCTTCTTTGCAATTGCAATCACGCGAATGACAGCAGCGGGTCAAGGATTGCTGTAGCAAGGACATAAGGAATCCAGCAGTGAGAAAGTGGAGCAAAAGTTACAATAGGGACTCAAGTCTGTAATTAGTTGAGCAGTTTCTCTACATTGCATAATTTTCTGGGAATTTTATGTGTATGTTAAGGATAGTTACGCAGCAAGGGGTATGTCATATGACAGCTGAACTTCTGGCATTTAGGAAGGCATTTTGCCTTTAGGCAAGTTGATGTCGAAAAGCAACCCGTCACGAGTTTAGGAAATGCTTGCTTTCTAGATTAGCCTTGCCCCAATTTCACAATCCAGACTGGGAGAATTGAGAAGTATAGTCGTGACCATTAGGTGACCACCAGATTGGGGAAAGGTGGTGGAGAGAGTATTGCCAAGATATTCTCAAAGATCAATGTATTGTCAAAGGCAGGCATCCTCAAACTGCGGCCCTCCAGCTGTTTGGGCCTTCAACTCCCAGAATTCCTGACAATTGAACAAGCTCCTTAGGGCTTCTGGGAGTTGGAGGCTGGGACGACATTTCACTACTTCAGTCCTTTTCCAGGAGTCTTTATATGTGTGACGATGGGGGGGATATTTCCTTTTAAATCTTTTTACTGCCTTATATTGATGTATTTCCCCCTTTTTAAATTGGCTGGGGCTTTCTTGTGAGCTTCTACTTTGAGACTTTTATATTACAGACCTGAGACACTCTTGTAGTAAACAAAGTAACAAAGTTTATTTATAGCTTCTGGCTCCAATGCTTATGGTTACATTTGTGTGTTCTGTTACAGTCTTGAGTCTTACAATCAATCTCATTCACTTAGTTAGCTTTTCTTATCAAACTTCAACTGTTTCACATCAACAAATATATTACTTTTTCATATACTCTTGACAGAACTATATTCCGCCACACTGGCACTTCTTTATTTTCCTTAAAACCTAAGCCTCATTTTCCTAACTGCTTTTCTCTCACAGAAGTTCCTAACTGTCCTTCACAAACAGGAATCCCTAACTGACTCTCCTGACTAACTGCCTATTTTTAAACTTAATTCCGCCGAAATCACTGGGTTGTTGTAATTTTTTCGGGCTGTATGGCCATGTTCCAGAAGCATTCTCTCCTGACTGTTTTCCCCGCATCTATGGCAGGCAACCTCAGAGATTGTGAGGATCTTCTCAAAGCTGCATCTCTTTTTGAAAAAAAAAAGCTGAAATATACAATGCTGTTGGCTTAACTTTTTTATCACCCCTTTGTCTTTCCTTTCCCAGCTGTTTACTTAACAAATTAGAGATTAGATGTCTCATTTCCTTGCTTTTTTTTCTTTTAGGATGGTGCGGTTTTGGAGAATCGACGAGGACTATCCAGTCCAGGTGGCGCCTTTAAGCAATGGACTTTGCTGTGCCTTTTCTACTGATGGCAGTGTTTTAGCTGCTGGGTGAGCAGGCTTTTACACATATATATATTTATGTTACACACACACATATATAAACACTCACACATTAATAATAATAATAATAATTGTTATTATTATTTATTAAATATCAAAAGCATTGCATAAATTAGTATAAAACTGATCAAAATAGAAGGAGCGCAGGTGGCTAAATATCTTTTCACCAAAAACGGGCAACAAAAATGGCCTTGTCTGTTGCCTCCAACAATTCTTCCTCTGTACGTGAGGCAGGGCATAGTGGACAAGCATACAGATGCGGAGTTGTGTGTTCTGCTCCACAGTCACACAAGGTGTGGGATTCTTTTAGTCAGTGCCATTTTGCCAGGTTGTCTTTTTGATCTGATAATAATAATAATACAGTGTTCCTTCAATTATCATGAGAGTTACGTTCCAGGACCATCCACGATAAGTGAAAAACCACAATGTAGGGACGCTATATATATATGTGTGTGTGTGTGTGTGTGAAATGCCTTGCCCCGTCTTACTGGGCAAGGGCCGTTGCAGTGGTGGGCACCCTCCTGCTGGCCATGCTGCTTGCAGGGGGCTTCTTCTTCCTAGAAGCTTCCTGTGCGGTGGAAAGTCTCTCAACGCTTGGCCAGCTTGCCAACCGGCGGCAGGCTCCACACCGCCCCTGGATCGGCCAGGGCCAGCTTTCCTACCTCACCCCAGCAGCCTTTGCAGCGCTGCCCAGGGCCTCCGCAGGCCTCCATAGCTGCTGAGGCGAGGTGGGGAAGCTGGCCCTGGCCAATCTAACCAGCGGTTCAGCCAGGGCCGGCTTCCCCACCTTACCCTGGTAGCCATGGAGCCCTGTGGAAGCCCTGGGCAGTGCTGCAAAGGCTGCTGGGGCGAGGTGGGGAAGCCGAACCTGGCTGACCCAAGGAGCGGCAGACTCCAAGCCTTCACCATCTTGCCCCGGCAGCCACTGAGCCCGCGGACTCGCTGTTTCACGGTTTGGGTTTATTTATTTATGACATTTATATGCCGCTATTCTCATCCCAAAGGGGACTCAGAGCAGCTTACCAGTCATATCTACATAAAACATACTATATTATTAGCATAATACTAATACATCATTCATAATATTAGTATTGTATAATATTATATTGTTGCTGGGAGAGGGACTCTGATGTTGCAGGAGACAAGATGGAACTGTCTTCTCTGCTCCCTTCTTCACTCGATTCTAATTATTATATATATATTTTGTCATGTCAGGAGTTACTCCTGGTGTGAGAGAATTGGCCGTCTGCAAGGACGTTGCCCAAGGGACGCCTGGATGATTTTTTTGATGTTTTTTTTTATCATCCTTGTGGGAGGCTTCTCTCATGTCCCCGTATGAGGAGCTGGAGCTGATAGAGGGAGCTCATCTGCCTCTCCCCGGATTCGAACCTGAGACCTGTCGGTCTTCAGTCCTGCCAGTACAGGGGTTTAACCTACTGCGCCACTGGGGGCTCCTATATATTAATTATATTATATATAATATATATATTAATTAATTATAATTAATATAATATACTAATTAATATAATATATATTAATTGATTATAATATATAATATGCTTTCCAGTGAGTCCGTGGAAAGCAAATCGAGAAATAGCGAGGGAACACTGTAATACTTTATTTGCATTCCACCATATCTCCCCAGAGGGGGAGATACATACATACATACATACATGCACATAATAAAAATAATACAGTGAAATAAATAAAAGTGAAAATAAGTATCTGTGTATGTGGCTGGGGTGTACACTTACACAGACAAGCTCCTGCCTCCACAAACAGCTATCGCTCCCACTACTCAGGAGACACCAATGGCCCTCCCTCCAATGACTTTGCATCTAGAGTAAACTTTAGAGTAAACTACTGCTGGAGTTTTTCAGGGGGTTAACCTGGCATGATATGAGTTGTAGTTCACCCACAACATTATGCATTTTGTACAGTTAAAAAAATTGACTTTTTCAAGTGACCCGAGCAACGCCGGGGACCCAAGCCAGTATATGTATAAAAACACAAAAAATTAAAAAATGTGCAATGTGTTTTATATGCTGTCCCCTGCCACGCGTTGCTGTGGCGCAGTCTGTGTATATGTGTTTTGTGTGTGTATTAGGCCTGGGTAACAACGGAAAAATTTGTTTCTAAAATCGATTTGTATTTGGGGTTTTTTTTGTTTCGATATTTAAAATAATTACAAAATTTTCCTTTTAAAAAGTTCGATATTTACGAAATTTCGTAAATGGTAAAAAATTAACGAATCGATTTACGAAACAATAACGAATCGATTCGTTAATGGCGGACACGACCGCGAAATACGCTAAAAAACCTGCAAAACCTTCTGAAGCTTCCCTCTCCCTCTGTTGTTGACTGTTGGTGTGATATTATAATTTTTTTTCACTAATTATATATGTGGTTTTGTGCATGTGTTGTAATGTAGTTTTGTTTTGTTTTTTTGGCTTTTAAATCCCTTCAGCTGTGTTTTTCAGTGTTTTTAAGAGTGATGGTCCCTCGTTGGCCTGAGAGGTGTACTGTGTCCAAATTTTGTGTCAATTCGTCCAGTAGTTTTTGAGTTCTGTTAATCCCACAAATGAACATTACATTTTTATTTATATAGATAAAGACAGCGGTATAATGAATACAATGTTTTAAGATAGAATATATATGTTCTAGATTAAAATGTGATATTCTTCAAAGAATTGCGCATTACACACAGCGTAATATTTTATTTATGATATGTTTGTTTGCAGAACGCAAGATGGAAGCGTCTACTTCTGGGCGACCCCCAAGCATGTCCCCAGCCTCCAGCACTTGTGCCGCATGGCCATCCGGCGCGTGATGCCCACTCCGCAAGTGGCCAAACTGCCCATCCCCCCCACCGTTGTGGGCTTCCTTTCCTACCGGATGTAGGAGACAAATCAGCTGGGGAACGACCTGTCTGACAGTATCCCCTTTAAAAAAGCATTGGTCTTCTTTTTACAACCCATCAGGGCCAGGCCTGTCACCGGTTTTGAATTAAAGCTGGCCATTATTCTCTATACACAAAACCAAGATTCTGAATGTTGACCGTATGGAGATTTTCTTTTACGGATGCTTTTCCCAAAGCGTCCTCAACTGTGAAAAAACATGTACATAATTAGATATAAGCTGCTCTGTGTGTTCCCATGTATATCTCTTGTGACGGCTTTTTATATATATGGCATGTACTGTGTGTGTGCGTGTGTATGTGTATATAGGTATATAATAATAAATATAGCTGCTTAGGCGTGTAAGTATATATATGAACGTATACAATGCAAAAGCTGGCCTCGGACCACCTGTGCCCCAAATGTGAGATTTGCACTTTGCATGAATTATGTACGAGGGTTGAATGAAAAGTAATGCCTTCACCTTTGTAACTCCTCAACAGATGGCAGTACTGGTATGCGGCAGGTACTGACTTGTTCAGTAGACTCCTGCTTGAAATTTCTCTCTGAGTGATATGACGATCGTCCTGAATCAATCTGTCAACCTTTTGCTTGTGAAACTCGGTGGTTGCTGTCACAGGACGACCAATTCTTTTTTTGTCATGCAAGTCAGATGTTCCCACCTCAACATCTTTAAAATTAAAAAGTAATGCCTCCACCTTCGTAACTCCTCAATAGATGGCAGTACTGGTATGTGGCAGGTACTGGCTTGTTCAGTAGTCTCTCCTCTACAGATCCATTTTAGTGAGAAGCCTTAGTATTGAACAGTTGTGTTGTTAAAGTGCGAAGTATGGAATCCTGCACAGACGATTGGTCAGTGTGACTTAAGGAATGTGCAGTCATTGAATTCTTGACAGCAGAAGGTGTCACCCCAAAGGAGATTCATCTGTTTAGGATGATTGTGTTGATGTGAGTACTGTGCGTTGTTGGGCGAGTAAGTTTAAAGAAGTTGAGGTGACACCTTCTGCTGTCAACTGCAAGTTGCTTAAGTGGCAGTGACCGACAGTCTGCACAGGGTTCCATGCTTTGCACTTTAACAACACAACCGTTCAATGCTAAGGCTTCCCTCCAAAATGGAACTGTAGAGGAGAGTCTACTGAACAAGCCAGCACCTGCCACATACCAGTACTGCCATCTGTGGATGTTGAGGTGACACCTTCTGCTGTCAACTGCTGTCAACTGCAACTGCAAGTTGCTTAAGGCCAATTGACCGACCATCTGCACAGAGTTCCATACTTTGCACTTAACAACACAACTGTTCAATGCTCAGGCTTCCCGCCAAAATGGAACTGTAGAGGAGAGTCTACTGAACAAGCCAGTACCTGCCACATACCAATACTGCCATCTGTGGATGTTGAAGTGACACCTTCTGCTGTCAACTGCAACTGCAAGTTGCTTAAGGCCAGTTGACTGACCATCTGCACAGGGTTCCATACTTTGCACTTTAACAACACAACTGTTCAATTCTAAGGCTTCCCGTCAAAATGGAACTGTAGAGAGTCTACTGAACAAGCCAGTACCTACCGCATACCAGTACTGCCATCTGTGGATGTTGAGGTGACACCTTCTGCTGTCAACTGCAACTGCAAGTTGCTTAAGGCCAATTGACCGACCATCTGCACAGAGTTCCATACTTTGCACTTTGACAACACAACTGTTCAATGCTAAGGCTTCCCGTCAAAATGGAACTGTAGAGGAGAGTCTACTGAAGAAGCCAGTACCTGCTGCAGACCAGTACTGCCATCTGTGGAGGAGTTACGAAGGTGGAGGCATTACTTTTCATTCAACCCTCGTATATATCTGTATCTCTGGGGACACAAGCGTATACATTGGTGCTGTGAAAAATAGAACCAGCAGGTCTTGCCTTTGGAGCACAGAGCTATGTATCGGCTGGCGAATAATACTCAGTGGCTTTTGTACCATATTTGTGGGGCCAGTCCTGGCAGAATAGTCACACCCTCAGGATGCGGAGTTGTGTTGAGACAAAGGAAGCTTTAGTTCAGGCTGCGTCAGGTCTAATAGAATTTATCTGGGGGTATCCACAAGCGGGCCATCTTCAGGGAGGCCTTAATTTCACCTAATGAAAGGTTAGCATTTAAGGATACAAATGGACCTCCTTAATCGTTTTTGAAATCTAACTACTGTATCTCGGCCTGGTTACTACTACTAGTACTTTTCTCTTTGAGCTCCTTTCCTCCTTTTCTTCTGCTGTTCTGGGACCTCTTTTGTCATTTCACGAGGCGACGTGGGGGAACTACCAAAGATACATAATTGTTTCCCCCTCTTTGCTTTTGCCTTCTGGACCTGCAGATACAAAGAATGTATACGTACTACATAAAAATGCCAACGATGCATATTTTGTTTTGTCGTTTTGTATTAAAGGATTCTACAAAAGCTGTTGGGAAGGTGGTTATTTGGAAATGCGTGGCATCCGATGTACAAAATCACAGTGGCTTTGTGGGGGACGGATGGGCAAGCAAGTCAACCTTTTTCACTTGCTTCTTAGTCTAAACCAGTGTTTCTCCTGACTGTGAGAGCCGTTCAGCAGTGGAACTCTCTGCCCCGGAGTGTGGTGGAGGCTCCTTCTTTGGAAGCTTTTAAACAGAGGCTGGATGGCCATCTGTCAGGGGTGATTTGAATGCAACATTCCTGCTTCTTGGCAGAATGGGGTTGGACTGGATGGCCCATGAGGTCTCTTCCAACTCTTGATTCTATGATTCTCAACCTTCTGAATGCCGTCACAGTTCCTCATGTTGTGTTGACCCCCGACCATAACATTATTTTTGTTGCTACTTCATAATTGTAGTTTTGCTACTGTTATGAATCATAATGTAAATATCTAATATGCAGAATGTATTTTCATCCACTGGACCAAATTTGGCACAAATACCCAATATGCCCAAATTTGAATACTGGTGAGGTTGAGGGGAGGCATGATTTTTGTCATTTGGGAGATGTGGTTGCTGGGTATTATAGTTCACCTACACTCAAAGAGCCTTCTGAACTCCACCAGTGATGGTGGAGTTCACCATCAAAGAACTCCCATGACAAAGCGATAATACTGGAAGGGTTTGGTAGGCATTGACCTTGAGTTTTAGAGTTGTAGTTCACCTACATCCAGAGAGCACTATAGACCAAGACAATGACAGACAATAGACTCAGACAGTGATAGGACCAAACTTGGCATGAATACTCAATATGCTCAAATGTGAACACAGGTGGAGTTTGCGGATAATAGACCTTGACATTCGGGAGTAGTAGTTGCTGGGATTTCTACTTCGCCTACAATCAAAAATCCTTCAGAACTCCACCAATGATGGAATGTGAACTATTCTTAGTACACAGAAGTCCCATGACCAACAGAAAATACTGGAATAGTTTAGTGTTTAGTTTAGACCTTGAGTTTTAGAGTTGTAGTTCACCTACATCCAGAGAGCACTATAGACTCAGACAATGACGGACAATAGACTCAGACAATGATAGGACCAAACTTGGCATGAATACTCAATATGCCTAAGATGTGAACACTAGTGGAGTTTGGGGGAAAATATACCTTGCCATTTGGGAGTTGCAGTTGCTGGGATTTATAGTTCACCTACAATCAAAGAGCATCCACCAATGATGGAATTGAACCAATCTTGGCACACAGAACTCCCATGACGAACAGAAAATACTGGAAGAGTTTAGTGGGCATTGACCTTGAGTTTTGGAGTTGCTGGGATGCATAGTTCATCTACAATCAAAGCGCATTCTGAACACCAGCGATGGAATTGAACCCAGCTTGGCACACAGAACTCCATGACCGACAGAAAATACTGGAAGAGTTTAGTGTGCATTGACCTTGAGTTTTGGAGTTGCTGGGATGCATAGTTCACCTACAATCAAAGAGCCTTCTGAGCTCCACTAGTGATGGAATTGAACCGAACTTGGCACCCAGAACTCCCGTGACGAACAGAAAATACTGGAAGGATTTGGTGGGCATTGATCTTGAGTTTTAGAGTTGTAGTTCACCTACATCCAGAGAGCACTATAGACTCACACATTAATAGATGTGGACTAAACTTAGAATGAATACTCAGTGTGCTCAAATGTGAACACAGGTGGAGTTTGGGGATAATAGACCTTGACATTTGGGAGTTGTTGCTGGGATTTCTATTTCACCTACAATCAAAAGAGCCTTCTGGACTCCACCAGTGATGGAATTGAACCCAACTTGGGACACAATACTCCCATGATGAACAGAAAATACTGGAAGGGTTTGGTGGGCACTGACCTTGAGTTTTGCAGTTGTAGTTCACCTACATCGAGATACCACTGTGGACTCAAACAATGATGGATCTGGACCAAACTTGGTACGGATACTCTATATGCTCAAGTGCGAACACTGGTGGAGTTTGGGGAAAATAGACCTTGACATTTGGGAGTTGTCGTTGCTGGGATTTATAGTTCACCTACAATCAAAGAGCATTCTGAACCCCACCAACGATAGAATTGGGCCAAACTTCCCATGCAGAACCCCTATGACCAATAGAAAATACTGTGTTTTCTTATGGTCTTTGGCGACCCCGCTGATACCCCCCCCCCCCCACGACCCCAAAGTTGAGCTCCTGCTCTGAGGAAGTGTATCACTCACGTTAGTAAAGCAAAATTGTAAAAGTTCCCAGCTAAATTTCAATTTCCTGTTGGCTTCGCAATTACATAGGTGGAAAACACAACATTTAAGTCTTAGGCTTTGGGTGGTTATCTTTGCAGTAGTTGGAGAGATCTTTCAGGACGTTCGTAAGTTGGTTTTCGACTGTTTCAAAGTTTTGTTTTGAGTTGAATTCTGGATTCTGGCTTTGACGCTTCCAAAAAAGAAAATAAAAACCAAATAGCTTGAGGCCAAGATATCTGACGGACTATAGCTCAGAATGGTTTTGCTACATATGGCTTTCAAAACTGGTTTCTCACCTGTTACATGTTTTAAAATTGTGTCTGATCTTTAGGCCTCTCGGGTGCTGGACGAGTGCCTGGCTGCTGTGTCTATCTGGATGAGGAGGAACAAGCTGAAGATCAGTCCCGACAAGACAGAGGTCCTTCTGGTCGATCGTATACCTGACCGGGGTATAGGGTGGCAACCTGTGCTGGACGGGGTTACACTCCCCCTGAAGTCACAGGTCCGCAGTTTGGGAGTCCTCTTGGATTCAACGCTTACGCTTGAGGCTCAGGCGTCGGCGGTGTCTGGGAGGGCTTTCGCACAACTGAGACTCGTGCGCCAACTGCGACCGTACCTCGCGAAGGCGGATCTGGCCGGAGTGGTCCATGCCTTCGTCACCGCCAGATTGGACTACTGCAATGCGCTCTACATGGGGCTGCCCTTGAAGACGGCTCGGAAGTTCCAGCTGGTCCAACGATCAGCAGCCAGGATGCTAACTGGGGCCCCTTACAGAGAGAGGTCAACCCTCCTGTTCAAGGAGCTCCACTGGCTGCCGTTTATATTCTGAGCCCAATTTAAGGTGCAGGTGCTTACCTACAAAGCCCTGAACGGTTTGGGACCAACCTACCTGCGTGACCGCATTTCCATCTACGAACCCACATGTTCACTTCGGTCATCTGGAGAGGCCCTGCTTGTGATCCCACCGGCATCGCAAGCGCGCTTGGTGGGGACGCGGGACAGGGCCTTTTCCGTGGTGGCCCCCCAACTCTGGAACACCCTCCCCAAAGACCTTAGACAGGCCCCTACATTGGCTGCCTTCAGAAAGAACTTGAAGACCTGGCTTTTCCGATGCGCCTTCCCAGATTAGGAAATCTCCACCACCAAGTCCCATAAGCACTTTATCAGAACCAATGATTGCTGCACATTGCACATCGCACTTGCCCTAGAAGCCCTCTATACACCTTTGTGGATTTGTGCAAGGAAAGGTCATTTTTGATATACGAGGGTTGAATGAAAAGTAATGCCTCCACCTTCATAACTCCTCAACAGATGGCAGTATTGGTATGCGGCAGATACTGGCTTGTTCAGTAGACTCTCCTTTTCAGTTCTATTTTAGCAGGACGCCTTAGCATTGAACGGTTGTGTTGTTAATAATAATATTTATTTATACCCTGCCACCATCTCCTCAACAGGGACTCCACCTTGGCAGGAAAAACGAAATGCAAAGATACAGAATGGGGGACAATGCCTGGCTCGAGAGCAGTACATGTGAAAAAGATCTTGGAGTCCTCGTGGACAACAAGTTAAACATGAGCCAACAATGTGATGTGCTGGCAAAAAAAGCCAATGGGATTTTGGCCTGCATCAATAGGAGCATAGTGTCTAGATCTAGGGAAGTCATGCTACCCCTCTATTCTGCTTTGGTTAGACCACACCTGGAATATTGTGTCCAATTCTGGGCACCACAATTCAAGAGAGATATTGACAAGCTGGAATGTGTCCAGAGGAGAGCGACTAAAATGATAAAGGGTCTGGAGAACAAGCCCTATGAGGAGCGGCTTAAGGAGCTGGCCATGTTTAGCCTGAAGAAGAGAAGGCTGAGAGGAGATATGATAGCCATGTATAAAGATGTGAGAGGAAGCCACAGGGAGGAGGGAGCAAGCTTGTTTTCTGCTTCCTTGGAGACTAGGACGCGGAACAATGGCTTCAAACTACAAGAAAGGAGATTCCATCTGAACATGAGGAAGAACTTCCTGACTGTGAGAGCCGTTCAGCAGTGGAACTCTCTGTCCCGGAGTGTGGTGGAGGCTCCTTCTTTGGAAGCTTTTAAACAGAGGCTGGATGGCCATCTGTCGGGTGATTTAAATGCAATATTCCTGCTTCTTGGCAGGGGGTTGGACTGGATGGCCCATGAGGTCTCTTCCAACTCTTGATTCTATGACTCGGGGCGGCTTACATGAGGCCAAGCCCAAACAACAAATTACAGTAATAAAACCAAAAATACAAGCAACAAACAACATCATAATTACATAAAACATATGAGTACATTAACTATGTGAGATTACAGTAAACACAGTCACAGTGACAATGGGCGGGCCACATGTCACTGGAATCCTGCACAGAAGGTCGGTCAGTGCGACTTAAGCAACGTGCAGTCATTGAATTCTTGAAGGTGTCACCCCAAAGGAGATTCATCAGAGAATACAAGCTGTTTATGGTGATTGTGTTGATGCGAGTACTGTGCGTCGTTGGTCTAGTAAGTTTAAAGATGTTGAGGTAGGAGCATCTGACTTGCGTGACAAACAAAGAGTTGGACGTCCTGTGACAGCAACCACCGAGTTTCACAAGCAAAAGGTTGACAGATTGATTCAGGGCAATCGTTGTATCACTCAAAGAGAAATTTCAAACATGATCAGCATTTCACAAGAACGTGTGGGTCACATTATTGCTTTGCTTGGCTATCTGACCTACAAAACCC